AGGTTTATTGCTGAACGTTTTATTTTAGTGCAGTGTAAACTCTCCTAATGCTTTTGGACACCAGTACCTCTCCCGATATTTGTAGCCCAGACAGAAGTAACAATAGTCCACTGCCATGGCAACAGAACAGGCTGCTGTCAAAGCAGCTGCTGCCGTGTGCATTCAGACTCTGGATAGGTGACCGTAATGTCAATTAAGCATCAAAAACTCCAAAGGCCAGAAAACATGCACATATGTGTACCAGCAACCAAAGATGGACATCAACCTTGTAAAGTTGGATAGAGCTTGGCCAAAAGCTGCCGTTGTTCACAGAGACATATCCATTATGTCAAAAAAGATTTGCTAAACCTGTGGAGAGCGGTCACGCACTGAGGAGATTACATAATGCCTCTAGTTTTCATTTAAAAATAAGATGTTAAAAGGATTGTTCACCCAAAAATTAACGTTCTGTCATTATTTACTCACCCACCATGTGATTCCAAACCTCTATGGTATTATGAAGAACAAAAGAAAAACTTTCGAAGAATATACTGATCACATAGACTATATGCTTGTCATGTTTGTTGTTGTTGTTGTTGTTGTTGTTGTTTTTAAGCTTTCAAGGAATCAAAAATAAAGCATAAGCACCATAAAAGCATCATAAAATTTATCTGAGCCATAGACTGCAATGTTCCACCAAATTACAGCTTCAGACAAGTTCTGCCTCAAGGCCCTTCCTCACTTCCGTTTGCCTCTTTCCTTTCACTTCCTGTCTTCTAGTCTGTGTGGAGACGTGCTGATATCGCTTTTAGTCTCATTCTGTATCGCGTATCTTGTCAGTGTCTGCGCTTGCTTGGCCATTTGTTGTGGAGAAAATAAGTAAAGTGTGTTCAAGCGCCAGCAGAAAACAGTGTAAAGAAATACTCTTTGAGAGAAGCAGTCTTTATCAGCGGAAGTTAAAAGCAGCTCGTAAGTGTATTTACTTGTCTCATTAGTGTGTAGTGCAGTTGTCGTTACTAGGAAACGCTTGTTTTGTTTACTGTGTGGAGACGTGCTGATATCGCGTTTGGTCTTGTTCTGTATTGCGTATCTTGTCAGTGTCTGCGCTTGCTTGGCCATTTGTTGTGGAGAAAATAAGTAAAGTGTGTTCAAGCGCCAGCAGAAAACAGTGTAAAGAAATACTCTTTGAGAGAAGCAGTCTTTATCAGCGGAAGTTAAAAGCAGCTCGTAAGTGTATTTACTTGTCTCATTAGTGTGTAGTGCAGTTGTCGTTGCTAGGAAACACTTGTTTTGTTTACTGTGTAGAGACATGCTGATATCGTGTTTGGTCTCGTTCTGTATCGCGTATCTTGTCAGTGTCTGCGGTTGCTTGGCCATTTGTTGTGGAGAAAATAA